TCAGCATGAGGCCTGGCAGAGTTCAAAGTCCACGAACGCCATCAGAGTGAAACAGAGATTCCACCCAGTCAGCACCCAAAATTCGTGCAAGTTGTCCTGAATGTAGAAAACTAGTGACAGCTCTCTTAAGAATAGGGTAGCTTTGAGGAGTCTTAATATTTCCAGGCAGCTTATTCCAGATTGCTATGGCGTTTACTGAAATGAATTGACGGCACCTAACTGGGCCTGCCATAGGAAGAAATAATAACACTTCTCGATGACTGGCGCGCCAAGAGTGCTCGAGCTGCATTGTGGTACAGAGGGGATTAAAGATGCGGCCATTAAAAAGTTTAAACTGTAAAAATAGACCCTTCTGTAATCTACGAAGCCACAGATGATCGAGCTTTATGAGTTCACACCGTTGTTGATAGGATAAGCTACGTTGTTTTTAAGTGAAAACTCTTCTAGTGAAGAAGTGCTCGACCGATTCTATTTTCTTCCGTTCACTAGTGCGCAGAAGACTGAAAAGGGACGAGCAGTATTCAAGACTGTCTCTTACGTACATATTATAAAGGCTAGTTGTAACCCTTATGGTCTTGAAATTTCTAAAAATAAATCCGGTAGTTTGGCGTGCTTTCTAGACAATCAGGGCACAGTGCTCTGACAGATTGAGACTATTCGAATAGGATATACCCAGATCCTTGATAACTCCTGGCACATGCAGTTCGTGACCATCCATACTTAATTCAGGCTGATGATCGTCGTCAACAACCATAACGGAACATTTGTGCCATGAAAGGGTGAGGAGCCTTGTGTAGCACCACTGGGCAAAGGCCTGAAGATCTTTTTTTATGAGCTCAAGCACGATGTTGCGATCTGCCGGTTTATATCAATAAGCGACTCTTTAAATCGTCAGCGTACATAAAATGCCTACCATACTGAAAAAATTCTGGGACATTGTTGACAAAAAGGCAAAATAAAAGCGACCCAAATACGCTACCCTGAATAACTCCACTCCTCACATGTGTGGGGTCAAGAAAACATTGGATGTTTTAACTCGTTAAGAACGAACATTCAAATTGGAAGATAGTACGTTCAAAAGCTCGTTACCTATGCCGAAAGAGGCCAGTTTCAGAAGGAGAAAATAATGGTCAACATGATCAAAGGCCCTAGTAAAATCAAAATAGACTGTATCAAAATCAAAACCGCTGTGTCCAGCTTGCAGCTCATAATCAAAGAGAGAGATCTGACAGGTGTCACAAGATCTTTTCTCGAGAAATCCATGATGAGCTGCATTGAGTAGATAGTTCTCTGTCAAATGACGCATCATCTTTTATTTGAGCAAGGTCTCCAAGATCTTCGAGGCTGCGGGAATTATATTTAGTAGTCTAAAGTTGTCAAATGACGACGATCGACCATGGTTGGGAATAGGCATTATGTGCGATTCTTTCCATAGCAAAGAAAAGGTTTCGCTTTCAAGAGAAAGATCAAATATCATACACAGAATAGACATAAAGATATCATTCGCTTCAGCTTTTAGAAAGCTAACCGGGACGCCATCTGGTCCTGGATTATAAAATTGTCGAA